AATAGTGAATAGTTAATAGTTCAATAGTTATAGATAAATAGTTGAATAGTTTAATTAACTAGTTAATAGCTAAACAGTAAATAGTTAAATAGTAAATAGTAAATCGTTAAATAGTTAATGGTGAATAGTAAATAGTAAATAGTGAATAGTGATAACTAAATAGTTTAATAGTTAATAGTTAAATAGATGAACAGTAAATAGTAAATAGTGAATAGTAATAACTGAATAGTTAAATAGTGAATAGTTAATAGTAGATAGTGAATAGTTATTAGTAAAGAGTGAATTAAGAATAGTTGAAATTTGGATAGTTAAATAGTGAATAGTGAATAGTTAATAGTAAATAGTTGAATTGTAAAAAAGTGAATAGTGAATAGTGATAACTGAATAGTTAATAGTTAATAGTAAATAGTTGAATAGTAAAATAGTGAATAGTGAATAGTGATAACTGAATAGTATTAGTATTAGTAAATAGTAAATTAAGAATAGTTAAATAGGTAATAGTTAATGGATAAATTGTTAATAGTTATTAATTAAATAGTTAATAGATAAATTGTTAATGATAAATAATTAATAGTTAATAGTGAATAATGAATAATAGATATTAATATGCATATGACTAAAATAAATAATATAAATATAAATATAAATATAAATAAATATATAATCTTATATATAAAAATGGAGCTGTCTTTCAAATGTCCGAATAAAACTCGAAAACGGCTGAATGGATTTGGCCAGTCTTAGTCTTGAAAAATTCGTGCCAATCCAGAGATTGTCCAAAAGGTGAGATAATATTTCAAATCCGCGTAGAAACTTTACATATTTATTTTGAAAATTTTTGGTAAACAGCACTTGATTCAAAATGGCTTCCCACACAATGTTATTCAAATGACAGATGAACACTACTCATATGTCAAAACAAAGTTAAAACAGATTATGTGTTATTCTTTTAATTTTAAAATTTAATTATTTATATATTTTTAAATGTTAATAAGAATGCTTATTCTGATTTTATATGAGGTTTTTATTTAATTCTCAAGTGTATGCTCACTCCCTTTTTGTATTCTTTTATCAAGAGCTTGAAATAATACTATTCTTATTGATTAAGGCTTGCCTATGAAAGAATAAATAAATAATTCTGTTTCAAACGCTGTGCTGTGCAAGTAGTTATTGGTTTAATGTGAATAATGTGTTACCAAAATATTTTATGAATTATATTATTATTGCATTTAGGTTATTCAAATTGAGATCCTAAATTTGGAATTCATCGAAGGGGACACCATAGACGTTTCTGTCTAATCACTTATTGCAAGTTATAATAGACAGCGATATGAATAAGAAAATTGGATTATAACACAGATAGAAATTTTAGAAATCATATTCATAAAGGTCTTCGGAAACGAAGTTGTTTGAAAATTGCTTATAAAGCTCACATTATGTTATTTTACATCCACATAAGTACAGTTTAAATAGATATGGAAGTAATCATTTCGAATATATACAGTACAATCTATTTACAATACAAATTTTTCATTACAATACTATGAGGAGTTTTGTAGTTATATGGTCCATGACATTTATATTTTGAAGAATTTAAAGTATCAGCAGTACGAACTTGCATTATATTACATGATTTCATCATCCGAATAGGCTTTCTAATGCATAGAAAGAAGTTTTTCCAGCATTCCAATTTGCAATGAAAAAATTAAAATAGCTCAACATGTCCCACATGATAATAATAGATTTTTTACAGAATTTTTCTTAAGCTGTTTAAATACTAATACTGTTATCGATCGGGTCTTTTCCCAATTACTTCCCGAGCATACTATATAGTGGTCATGGTGATAACAAAGATACCACTAATTTGGATACATAGTTGTAGAAAAGGAAAATCAAAATAAACACATTGAAATTTATCACAATATGTACTCATGTCGAAAATCTACATATGTTCAAGCAAATTCATAAAGAAGAAATGTCCATTTTATATAGCTATATAACAATCGGGGTAAAACGTTAAAACGGCTGTACGAATTGGGCCAATCTTAGTTGCATAATTTTATATTCATTAGTATTTATAAAACATTTTCTAGATTATATAATTATTTTGGAATATAAATTTGGAATCGATCAAAGGGGACATTTTGTCGAAAAACTTATTCCCAGATATAACAGACCACTACTTAAATAATAATAATCCATAACGAAAGTTTATGATTTCCTTTTGTTGTTAGTTTTTGGGTTGTGAGCACTGTGATTTAGTTCACGAGACCTTAATATAAATTTTAATTATTTAATTGTTTTATAAAATGTAATGTTAATTTTGAGTTAGATTCAACACTTCAAAAACTTACATCTGTGTGGGGCAAAAATGACCAACTGAACATTGACCACGGCTAAAGACTAAAAGAGACTTGGATCGAATTATACCATAATTTTATAGCAAGTGTATAAAACTTCCAGTTTGATTGTATTAACAAAATATGATCAAACGAATATTGTTATTATGAATTATATAATTTATTATTATCCAAGTAGACTTTGGAGTTTATTGTGTTTATAATATACCTCATTGTCTGTACCATTCAAACTATACATTCTTACACTCCTAAAATAAAGTATTTCTTTTTTATTCTTTAGAAGTTGCTTAGAAATACCTAACTTAGCAAAACAACGTTTGCCGGGTCAGCTAGTTATAAATATAAATATAAATATAAATATAAATATAAATATAAATATAAATATAATATAATATAAATATAAATATAAATATAAATATAAATATAATCATAAATATAAATATAAATATAATCATAAATATAAATATAATCATAAATATAAATATAATCATAAATATAAATATAATCATAAATATAAATATAAATATACATATAATCATAAATATAATTATAAATATAAATATAATCATAAATATAATCATAAATATAAATATAAATATAAATATAATCATAAATATATGATTTAGTATTTCACCCGCACGTTGAACTCACATTCGCCAAATGAGCCGGTAAATGTGCACATTTACCGGTGAATGTGCACATTCACCGAAATATTCACATTTACCGTAACATATATATTACACATAATATTTATCAAACTAGTTGAAATTGGCATTTTGCCTAAAGGAAAGTTGCATGAACTTCTCGATATGTCATATGTATCAGCGAAACGAATATTGGAGCCCACGTATTATAGACCTTATAATTTAGTAAGCAATATTTATAAAAGGACTGGACTTTAATATTTACAATTCGTGAGCCCATTCATAGCTACTGGTTTCATATGGATTAGCATATTTAAGTTTTAGAGTAAAATCTAAGGGTTGTTCGGAAAGTAACTTCGTTTTTTATAGACATTTTTGCACGTAAATTTCGTACAATAAACAAATACTTTAGTAAATTATATATTGGCTATTTTGATCAAACATCTATTCTCATATTTCTGGTATTAGCATAACTCCGAGATCGTAAATTTTTTCGTCGTAATTGGCAAAAAAAAACCGATCAAAGTGCTTTTCGACCTCCTCATTTGAAGTGAAGGTTTTACCGTCTAAAAATTTTTTTAGTGGCTAGGACAAATAATGGTCCGATGATGGCAGGTCTGGAGAATGTGATGAATGTGGCATTATGCCCTATCAAGTTGTAAAAGCTTTAGTCGGATCAAACTTATGTGAGGTCTTGCGTCGACTATACCTTGCTTGTGGGTTAATCTAATTAATCTAAATATAATCTGAATCTAATCTAATATCTAATCTTTTCTATTGAAGCACATCATTTAGTTTATCCAGGTGATGACATAAGGCATCCACATTGACTGTTATGTTATCTTTAAAGGGCTGAAAAACGAACAACTCCTTTAAAATCTCACCAAACATACTGCATCACTTTTTTCTTGGCGAATTTCAGCTTTGCTACTGTTTTGAACAGGTTCTTCTTTTTTGTTTTATGGGCAATTGCATGTATTGTATCCTTTACATCCAATTTGACATTCCCAGTGACAATTCGCTTCAAAACCTGAACAGTTTTAGGACTTTTCAGAGGCGAATAGCGTACGATGGTGCGACGACACAGGTTTCTTCCTATGAGAATCATACATTGAGCTTCGAGGAAAATCCCAGACCTTTTAAGTGGTCATGAACTGTTAAATTTGATAAATTTAAACTCAAGAGGATCTCATGTATTGTTATTCGCCGGTTTGCCTCAACTAAGTAATGCCTTTCTCCTGTCTATATCAGCTTTAACCGTACTTCTTGGACTTGGTGGATCTTGGAAATCAAAATACCAGAAATGAAATTTAACAAACCAGTTTTGGCACTTTTGTACTATCAATACGTCATTTCCAAGCACATTGATTAATTTCATCTTGATTTAAACAGTATTTTTATCTTTTCTATAGCAAAAGAGTAAGATGTGTAGAAAATGCAGCTTAATTCTTGTCGTATCCAAAGTGACACCATCCAAAAACTACAGTGAGTAATTGATTAGAATTTTTTACACATGAACCCTAAAATTTAAGCTTCCAAATCATATAATAATTACAGGGCTTAAGTGTGATTTTAGGTCCAGGAAAATATTGTTACATCTTAGGAAGTAAAAAGCGAAAGGACTTTCCGAACATGCTCATACCACAATTGATGAGACTTTATCAAGGTGGTAGACAAGTGAACAGAGTGTTTTTTATATTCTTTCAATGCTTATAAATTTTCGTTTACCTCAAAAGTTCTAACAGAATTCAGCAATGCTAGCATGTCTGGTTGATCTCGTTCTTGTACTACATCTATAATTGATACTTCATTTTCATCAACTATATCTAAAATGTGATCATACCCTTCCACTAGCAAAGCAGTTATGCTAGCCACTTCACCTAAAACAATAATTGTTATATCAAAATTAACCAAGACCAAGACATATTTTTTAAAACAATTAGGAAAATGGTTTTCTTACCTCTGGCTGCAAGATGGATGATAAATCTATCGATTTCCTTAGTATTTTCTGGTAATCCAGCTTGAACAGAAACATCTCTTGCAGTTCTATAAAGTTCGTCTCTATATGCTGGACTGATGCCACTTTCTTGAAGCAATTGGAAAAGAGCGCCTCTACCATGAGATCTCGCTGCTGCAAAATGCAGCATAGACTGTCCGTGTTCGTCCTATAAATACATAAAAAATAGGTTATTAGAATAATATATAAAAGCAAAATATTTTAGAAAAAATATATGATAGGGAACGTTATAATAATGGGAATTTTATCAAGTAAAGTAGAAGGTTATTTTGGTTTTAAGGTATATGTGACGTAAATTTGTTTGAGTCTGTCAATTCGTGTGATGAGTTGTTTTTGAAGTAAAACTTCTTTAAGCGAGACTAAGGTGTAAATCTGTGAAAATGCAACGGAAAAAACGAGTTGAGTGCTAATGATTCGTCATTCACTCTCGATGATATCATTTCTATATGGGTCGATTGTGATTGTATGCGTATACGTATTATGTATACTAATTCTTAAAACGCAAATAATACCTATAATTTTATATGGAATAACAACATGGAGCCAAACAACTAAAGCAAATCTAAATGACATACAAAGAATAATGAATAAAGCCATAAAAATAGCATAAAATTTACCACATCTAACACCCACCAAATACTTACAGAGAGAAACAAATAATCATTCACTAAATAACATAATTAAAATAGAGAAATGCAAACTAATACACAAAATGAAATTTAACCGAATTAAAACAAATGCAACAATAGACACAAATCAAGATATACATGAACACTACACTAGACAACACAACAATTTTCACATTGAACGCAATAGAAAAAAAAATTTGAGAGAAAATGTCATATGGAGTGCTAGCAAAATATATAACGAATTGCCAAACGATATTAAGATGACCAATGATAATGATAGTTTTAAAAGAAAAATAAAGAAGTACTATAAGGAAATTGAAGACAAAGAAGACTAAAGAATTAATATATAGATATTATATTAATGAAATAGATATTATAGTCGAATGAAATGCATGTATTATATGAAAACTGTTTTTCATAATTTCTTATACCAGGCACCTCTGTCTGACTGAGATATGAAAATAATGTATATATGTAAATAAAAAAAATAAAATATATATTTTATACATGGAAAAAAAATGTCTCCGCAAAACAAATGAAAACTCTGCGACGTACATGAAATGTAAGTTTATGAAAATAATTTGTATTATTCGTGGTTACTATATATTTTTAGAAATTATTTTTATAGGCAAAGTATTACAAAGTTTCATATTTTTATAAATAATTATAAATAATAAAAAAATAATTGATATTCAGATTTATTACTCTAAACAAGAAGTCAATCACAACAATAGTTTGAAGCTACGCATCATTTATATACAGATATACTTCATACTGTACATCTATGCAGTTTATTTATTGCTAGTGTTAATGAAATTATTCAAGATTGTTATATTGCAGCTGTCCACTAGGTGAACGAATATTATAGAATTTATTAATCAGTAATTACTTCATTTCTCTCATAAACATTTAAGTCCTAAATGCTAATTTCAATGACAAACCGATCATATCATATTTGAAGTATGACTTTAATTACATTATTGTTTTCAAATATTATAAATATTTTTAATGCTATTATAAACATATAATGTATAAATTATTATTATACAAGTATGTATAATATCTTGTTATTATATTATTAATAAACATTATTCAAAATTGTTATATGGTGTATTTATTTTTAACTTAAATGCCATCTCGTACGATATCAAAACAGTTTTATTGCAATCGCGCGTGAACCTTACACGCATTCTTTTTTATTGTTACTAAATCCTTTTCAAATTTGAAGTTTATGATAATTGTGAAAGTTTTGGATATTGGTTATGTTCTTCATATTTGAATGAACAATAAACTAGTTGGTTTGGCATTTAGCCTTGAGGCAAATTACATGAACTTCCCGATATGTGTAAATAATCGACTTGATCAAAAAAATGTGTAAATAATATACTTCATTAATCCTACTTAAAAAAACGATAATAATTTTAGCAAAGTTTGACGAATTTTTAAAATTGAACTAAATATTACAGTAAGTTCTGTAAGACCATGATGTATATCGCCAAAAAAAGTTCCATGAAAAACGGCTTAAATTTTTTTAACAGTTAATTACAAGAAAACGGCTCGGTAGATTTTCACCTAAAATTAATCAGTACCATTCCCATCTAATATCTTTCGAACAGTTTTTGATTTTTCAAAATCGGTTCGGTAGGATGAGCTTAAATGTGGACGAAAATTTAACACTTTTTTTCAACATTTAATTACAAGAAAACGGCTCGGTAGATTTTCACCTAAAATTAATCAGCATCATTCCCAAATGATATCTTTCGAACAGTTTTTGATTTTTCAAAATCGGTTCGGTAGGATGAGCTTAAATGTGGACGAAAATTTAACACTTTTTTTCAACAGTTAATTACAAGAAAACGGCTCGGTAGATTTTCACCTAAAATTAATCAGCATCATTCCCAAATGATATCTTTCGAACAGTGTTTGATTTTTTAAAATCGGTTCGGTAGGATGAGCTTAAATGTGGACGAAAATTTAACACTTTTTTTCAACAGTTAATTACAAGAAAACGGCTCGGTAGATTTTCACCTAAAATTAATCAGCATCATTCCCAAATGATATCTTTCGAACAGTTTTTGATTTTTTAAAATCGGTTCGGTAGGATGAGCTTAAATGTGGACGAAAATTTAACACCTTTTTTCAACAGTTAATTACAAGAAAACGGCTCGGTAGATTTTCACCTAAAATTAATCAGCATCATTCCCAACTAATATCTTTCGAACAATTTTTGGTTTTTTAAAATCGGTTCGGTAGGATGAGCTTAAATGTGGACGAAAAGTTCAACACCTATTTTCAAATTACGAAGAAACGGCTTGGCAGATTGTTGCACAAAACTGACAAACGATAGTCCTCACCGAAATACATCAAATGGCTTTTAAATTTCTAAAATCGGTTCAGGCGTTTTTGAGAAAACGTCGATCAAAAGTCTAATTTTGACAAATGCCAAAAAGACCGTACTGATTTTTGCAAACTTTGACGAATTTTTAAAGCTGAACCAGTTGTCGTAGGGCCGTAATATTTTAGTATGACCTAGAAAACTATGGTATCTTTCGTCAAAAAAATAATCATAAAAATCGTCAAAAATTTTTTTTTTAAAACTTTATTACAAGAAAACGGCCCGGCCGATCTTTACCAAAAACTAATCAGCACGATTTCCAACCAATATCTATCGAACGGTTTTTGAATTTTCAGAATCGATTCAGAATTGCGGGCTAAAACGTGGACGAAAAATTTTTCACTTTTCTGCAATTTACAAAGAAAACTCAGAGACGATAGTCCTCATCGAGATACATCAAATGGCTTTTAAATTTTTGAAATCGGTCCAACCGTTTTGGAGAAAACGTCGATTTACGGCAAAAAATCTGTTCACACACACACACACACACACATACACACACACACACACACACACACATACTTTTTCCAAATTTGGTCTCATTCGATTCAGAATGGCTCGAAACGTCGAGAAAACATAAAATTAGCGATTCGGATTTTTTGATGAAAACATAAACTTCTCCTTCGGGAAGTTAAAAATAGATTGGCATATCCTGATCTTGCTTTGTAAAATGTGAGAAAGAAAATTGAAACACACAATCCAAAAATGTGGACCAGCATTCAATTATCTCACTGCGATGGTAATTATTTCATTAATTATGGTTTGACGCAATGCTATCTAAGATAAGATTTGCCCAAGTTACAATCGTCTAAAAATTCCATTATTTTGAATATCCAGAACTTTTTGTTTTATCAATTACACAAATAAAGCCATAATCCTTGATAGACATGACTACAATATCAGCAAAATCTAATTGTTGACTTTTCTAAGGTAGCACAGGAGAAAAAGAATTAAAATATAATGAATATTGAATATTATTAATAAAAATAGTTATAAATAATGTGAAGGGAAGACAAACTTTGTAAAAAATCTTCTCGACAAAAAGCAGTTGATATAAAAATTTAAAATTTGTATTGAAATAAAGAAGATGCATAATTGACTACATAGTTGAGTAGAGCTTTGGAATCTGAGAAACAGTTTACAAAAGCAGAAAAAATTGAAAAACCAGTACAATAGAAAAAAAGCACAATGATAAAGCTATGATTCTGTATCAGTTAATATTATATCACATCATAATTTCAGATATCATCTGCAAGAAATTAATTTTTCTTACCCTGTCTTCGCTGCTCACAGCAGTTTCTGGAGCATCAGTATCATCCTGTTGTTGATTTTCAGGCAAAGATCGATCAATAGCAACTGCTTCTATAACATGAGGTGCACCTTGATCATTCCCTGGATTTTCAACTTTATTTCCTGGTGCTTCGGCATCTCCAGTTACTAGAACAGCAGATTCCTAAAAAAATACCGTTCCGATTTCTTGTTAGATATTTGAACAAAATTTTACAAATCATATGGATACTGATACATTTCAATTAAATATTTATTTAAAATTTAAAAAACTATATAAATCTATACAAAATAAATCATATTCAATATAGGACATAAAGGAGCTGTTCAAAACAATATTTTAAGTATTGATGTCTGAAATAGATTTCAGGAAATTTGGTTTGAAATTCTATTGCAATATAAACAACATATTTAATAATAAATGCCTTTCTTACATTTATTGATAAAAATATTATATCTTCCTCATATTATAATATTATAATCATAAGTTAAGTAATTACTTAATTTCAGCTTCTATACTCTAAAATAACTGCCACTACAATTTTGTAAAACTATTAAATTATTACTGAAAAAATACTTCTACGAACACGGTTGATTTCTAAAAACAACATTTCTCATACTGAATTGATATTAATATTGACAAAATTTTGATAAGAAGTAATAGTCCAAGAAATACCATATTTAAATTTCCTAACAAATAATTGGTATTAATATATAGTTGCAGCATACGTACCGTTGTTTTTACTCTAGATTTATTCTGATTGTCAAAATTATAAAGATAAGTGGCAAGAAATGATATTGGGTCCTTTGGTCTCTTGTTTGCGACCTCAGTTAGTCCTTTTATTAGTGGATCTCCTAAGGCTGAAATGAAATAAATTATGAAAAAAATTAATTAGAAAGAAATTTATATGAGATATTTTTTCTCATATATTTATGTAGTCTTAAGATTATAATGCATAATAATATTTTACTTTTGATATGTTCTATAGTTATATTTTATACTTAATTTTTCTGATTTTTTTGAATGAATTATAAACAGCAAATTTACTACATTTAGCACATCAATACTTTCCTAAGACAACTTAGCTTGAATTTTCCGATATGTGTAAATAAAGGACTTTATTATTTCAATATGATTTGCAAACGTCTGCTTGTCTACATTTTTACTTTCTAAATGTCCACCAGCCTACCTGTCTACCTCTCCACCTAGTTTTCTTTCTATTTGCCTCTCTGTCAACCAATCTACCCATTAAACTGTTCATATGTGTACCAGTTCACCTATCTTCTAGTCTACCCGTCCACATATTTACTTGTCTACCTATCTATCTGACTATCTGTCTACCTGCTACCAATAACTCCGTTTGTATAGATCAACAAGAATAATTTGTAATGATCATTTTTGACCACCAAATGGGTTTTTTACGTTCCCGTAGGTTAACGGATCAACTGATTTAAATGATCCAAGAAACATTCGATTCGTAATGATGGGGGAAAGTAGTGATTACATTTTAGCAAAGGCAGGTCCAGACATTTCGGAGATACGGAGCTAAACGGCAGTTTTTGAGAGAACTAAGTATCCGATTTGAATAATTTATAAAACTTTCTGCTTGTGTTGAAACTATTGCTTTTGGGAAAAGATTTTTTTTTTAAATTTTTATCGAAAAATAATTCGGACATAAATTCCAACTCTCACTAAAGTTCTAAACATCACTTATAATTAATAAATTATTTTAAATATTTATAATAATCTATTTGAATACATTTCATATTCTTTGAATATTTAATTAAGGAACGGTAAGCTCCAGCAATTTGCCTTAAGGCACAATTTCTGTATATATAATTTTTTTCATTAATTATTTCTGCCTTCCCAAAAATGTAATCAATTCTCCATTCCGCCAATACAAGTAAAATGTTTTATGAATAGTTTTAATCGGATGCTCCGTTCTCTTAAAAACTGCATTGCCATTTGTTGCACTTTTTGCTTCGTATCTCCAAAATGGCTGAACCTGTCTTTGCCAAAAAATAATAATCCCTTAGTCAATAAAATAAATCTTAATCATTGCTCTTGAAATCAAAATCGTGAATAAAAGTTGTATCTGAGCCTATATACATAACTATACGCATACATCAATTTTTTCTAAAGTATCCCAAAATGCTAAAAATACTTAGAAACATAAAGATATCCAAAAAATTGACAATTACTATAATTTAACCGATGGTTGGTTAGTTAAAAAATAAAAATAAAAATTAAATAAGCATGCCAAATATACTAAAACTCTACATATGGTTTCAAAACTCACGTAGCTAACTATGTGTAACTTTTTTCTCAAATATTAATAAATCTATAAATCTTTGTAGGAATATCTATATTTATCTTTACCACTTGCTAAATATCGTCCTTCCTCCGTCCGAAAAAGTGGAATATCGACAGAATTATTTAGATCTTGATCTTGTTCATTATTTTGCTCCAACTCTTCATCTTGTTGTGTTTCTTCACCATTAGTTGTTTCTTGAGATTCACTCTGGGTTATGTTTTCCTTTCTTGGTGGTACAATATCTGCAATAAGCATTTTAAGTCAAATACTAACAATATTGGAATTTTATATATAACAAATTTGAAGAAACATATTTCTTGAAGAATCTCTGCAATTAAATTTAAATGAAATATAAAAATTAGTCGAGTTATTCTAAACTAAAATATTTACAATAATTTAATCAATATTTGGATCATTCTACATAAACGTGAAATGTGCCACAGACAATATGTGAATTGTACTTATTACCATAAAATGTGTATTTTACAACAATGTTAAAGACTAATTATTAGTGCCATGACAACTGTAGATTTTACAATCAAATATAAATTTAGGATTATCATTTAAAATGATTTAATTATTATGGTGCTGTTTACTAGCAACTAAAAATATCAATCACATTCTAACAGAGGATTTTCTTTTTAACAAGTAACCAGAGGTTATGAAAATGCATTATGATAGAAATATTATATAACTTAGGTAATTATACAAATCAATTACAAATTAATACAAATAAATTAACATATATTACAATTCATATTTATAAAATAAATGCAGACTAAAATTAAAAAAAAAACTATGTACCTAATTAACCTATCTAACTACATTTAGTTAGATAAATATATAAATAGCATTTGCATAAATAATATAGTGGTATATGGGATGGTGCCTTAAGTCAAACTGCTAGAACTTTCCGTACTGTAATGAAATATTCGAGGAATTTTGAATGTTTTTAAATAAATTATTTTAAATACTGTAACTTTTATTAGTCGTATTCTGCAGAAATATAAAAGTTTATAAACTCGACGACGTTTACATATATTTACTTGAAAAGTAAATAAACAAAACTTATTCAAGCATGAATCTTATCTCATGTTTCTAAAAATTATATAAACTTCAGTTAAAAATATTTAGTTCATGTATATGAGTAAGCTTTAAAATTTTAGCCAGAATTAAAATTAAAATTCAAATAATTTTATTTATTTTTTTTAATTTTAAAATATTTTTTTTGCTTTCCCCAAAAACTAATTGTTTCTTCACACTATCAATGCAAGCAAAATGTTTTTTTTGATTTATACAGTTCGGAATCTTTTCTCTAAAAAACTGCAATTTTTTGCACTTTTAGCGCCAAAACTCCGAAACGGCTGGACTAATTTTTGCCAAAAACTAATCGTCTCCTTATCAATAGGAATCGAATGCTTTTTGACTAATTCAAATCGGTTGATCCGTGCTCTTGAAAACGCAGACGAAAAATTGTATACACACATACATACGTATACATCAAGTTTTTCTAAAGTATGCCAAAATGCTCTGGAACCTCTAAAACGTAAAAGTAAGCAAAAATATTTATTTTCTAAATTTAGACGATTACTATAACTTACCCTACAGAAAATTAAAAACTAGTTGTAAGTAGCATTTTAGTATTCGGCAAATTGCAAAAACGAATGAAGTTATTGTTTTTACTAACAACGAATAAAAGTGATTTCCAAATACGCATTAATATTTTTTTACATTGATTTGCGCTTCATAATTGTACTAATTATAAAGCAAAAATTCACGCATTGTGTATGTTCTGAAAACGCTTCTTAATATTTCAAATTTTAACAAATTTTCAAAATCAATCTATTTGAAAATTTTAATCGAGATGCATTTAAAAACGTTCACTGTCTGAAATGAAAAAGATTTTATTACTTCAATCATTAAAACGAAATATAAGAACTTGTGGCAAGAGGGTGAAAATTTAGGGTTGTATGCGTTTGCACGATAATGTAAAAGTGACTCTTATATAAAATTTATTGAATCGTCTTTTAATTTGAAAATGCAATATTGAATATATTAAGTAAATTAGTAAAGGACTCTCTTTTATAGACTTTTACATATTGTCAACAGTTTTGAATTACAATTTTCAAATTTTACATTTTATTTGCATTTTACAGATTGAAGTTTTAGAACTTTATAACTTTCCGTAGGGTAAGTTATAGTAATCGCAAAAATGAAAATTTTTATATATCTTTACGTTCTAGAGGTTTTTGAACATTTTGGCATACCTTAGAAAAAATGGATGTATATGTGTGTGTATGTGTGTGTGTGTGCGCGGATACAAATTTTCGTCGACGATTTCGGGAACGCGGATCAACCGTTTTGAATAATTCAGAAAGCATTCAATTTGTATTGATAAAGAGACGTGCTGATTAGTTTTTGGCAGAGGCAGGGTTAGCGGTTTTGAAGATACGGGGCAAAAAGTGACAAAAACGGTAACTCAGCGGTGAGATATTTTATAGAGATTTTAATAATGTGAACACATTTTGTGTATTTTTTTTTGGGTTCCGTACCAAGATTTTTAATTATGGTACGGGAGTTCCAGCAATTTGCCTTAAGGCACGATGCCATGCACCCCACTAGTTCATTCACCATCATTAAAAATGATAATGCTTCTTGTATTTTGTGCTAGTAACAGAAAATTTATGCCAAATATTACTTTTTGTGATAATATCATGCAAGCATAATTTTAACTATAAACACATAATATTAAAATATTATAAGTAAATTAGCAATTATTAACATATAATACCAAATATAATAACTAAATTTTCTGTAACATATATGCATGCTTCCATAAATGCTACATCTAATCTTAATTAATTTTGAAAGATTAAAAAAAGCTATTATCTTTAATTTTTCATAAAGGATTAATATAAACAAATGTGTAATCTAATTTACTAACATACACCAGTTTTAAGCATAAATGTTGGAAAGATATAAAAAAGTGTCATATTAAATTGTTAAATTATTTAACAAGTTTTAAGTTAGTAAACAAATAGTGCTTTTATAAATATGTTTTTATTTTGTTTTGGTAAATGTGGACACACTGATATGAGCACATAAAAAGCTTTGGCATGTTGCGAAAATTTAGCGTGACCATCACATAAAATATTCCAAAATTTATTTCAGCTAGATCAATTAATTAATTTGAATAAAATGATAAAACATGAATATTAATATAATAAACTTCTTGAAAAAATATATCTAATTAGACCGGCACCACACATCTAGATTCGTCCTCAAAACTACTATAGAACTATGAAAAGTTATTTAATTATGAACAATTATTTATATTCGAAGAAAATGCTAAAATTAAATGTCTTCAAAGTTTAATTTCATGGTTTTAAGGTTGGAACTTTGCAAATTGATATTAAAGTTAGCGGTTAATAATTTTTTTGTAATTCAGGAAAACAGTTCCTAAAGACTTTAAGACTAAAGAAATTAGTAAATAGATGTAAAAATTATGATGAAAATAAAAGATAGATTACTGGCTGTAACCCGCTGACTTTCAATTGAAATGTTCAACAACGATGCATATTTTACCAGTCTATACGGCTATCGGTCTACCTCTCTGTTTGTCCACCAATATACCTTTTTTTATCATTTATCAGTCTAACAATTAAGCTGTTCACCACCAATTTACCTGTCAACATTTTGCCAGTCTACCATTTTACTTGCCTACCAATTTACCTGTCAAACAATTTACCTGTCTACGTGTTCATCTGTCTACGTATCTATCTATCTACCTGTTTATCTGTCTACCTGTCTATCTGTCTACCAGTTATCTGTCCACCAGTTATCTGTCCCACACCAATTTACCTGTCCACCAATTTACCTGTCTATCCATATACCTATCTATCAATTTAAATCAATTTAAATGCCTACTATATACCAGTCAATGAATTGATTGATTGTTTGATAATTTACCTGTCATCCAGTTTCACATGTCCATCAATTAACCTGTCAACCTGTCGGCCTGTTTACCTGTCTATCCATTTACCTGTCTACCATTTTACCTGCCTAATAATTTACCTTGCAACCAATTTACATGCTCACCAATTTACCTGCCTACAAATTTACTCGTCAACCAATTTACCTGTTTACCAATTTACCTGTCTCGTTTAAAATGTCTACCAATTTACCTGTCAACCTATTTATCTGTCTACCAGTTGTCCTGTCTACCATTTTACATATCCTCTAATTTACCAGTTTACCTATCTATCAATTTATTTGTCTACCTCGTCTGTCTACGTATGTGTTATCTATCTACCTGTTTAACTATTTATCTGTTTACCTGTCTGCTGTCTATGTATGTATCTATCTACCAGTTTAACTATTTATCTGTTTATCTGTTGACCTGTCTGCCAGTTCACATGTCTTCCAGTCTGCTAGTCTACCAATTACCAATTAATTAAAAAAGATATAATTACTATAACAATTCTTACCAAGTAGAAGTTTGTGGTAGGAAGTTGAAAATTCAAGGTTATATATGTATTTCTTATAAACGCATTATAAAAAAATAAAAATTTATTTAAAAATAAAATACCCCTAATCAAAGTGTCCGAAAACATATCTGGAAATTTACCTAAAAATTTCCCGATTTCCCAATTTCCACAGTGATCGGACATATGGTTTATGAATGTATAATAATTACACATACACAAGACATTTAATCATTCAGGAGTGTTCTACGATTGTCGGCAACGCTCGTTCTATCTTTTGACACTTTAAAAGATGGAAAACATATGAGGACTAGCAGTTCATGTAGTGTAAGGTCTTTTGCTCAGATTGCGCTATTTATCCATGGAATATTTTCCCAAAATTGTGAAAGCAAATGGGGCTTATAATTTGGAGTAATTTAAAAGACACAAGTATGCATTAAGTAATGTTGTCTTAATAGCTTTTTCAAATTTAATTTTATGTACATGCAAGACAAAAATAGCAACAAAATATTATTCACTGGCAATACATGCATCGTATATTGGAGTAACTTTTTTATACAGCATACAATTTAATTTCTACTATCTCCTGATTAGATCCTGCATTTGTTCCATAAAATATAAAAAATCGAAATTTTAATAAATATGGCCAAATTATTAATTGGAATTCAATAATACGAATTCGAGACGATTTCTTTGATAATTATCGGAAACAATAATTAAAACATGGAATAAATATGTATACGGGGTGTCCTGAACTTAACGTTAAGTTGAAACGTTAAGGTGATAGTATTGTTCTTAACTGCCCAGAAAAAAATCATTTTTATGTTTTTATTTTTTTATACAACATTTTTTAAGAATAAAATCATCATGTATTTCACCATTCTATAATCCTGACCATATGCGCAAATAATAATTTGATCAAACTTGGCAACACACTTTAGTACAATTTTTTTAAAGAAGGGTCTCTCAAAGTCGGCCCATTTTAAAATTTTTTAATTCATATTTCAGCAAAAACCCTCAATTCTTGAAAACTTGGGGCAATTTTTACTGTGGTTCTAGAAATGTTACTTGCGGTTTTAGTTCCAAAGTTTGAATAAACAAAATGAATTAAAGTTAACCACAATAATCAAAAGAATGGTCATAATTTCACCAAAGCTCTTAAAAGTTCATTTATACCAAATAACGCGAGATATTTTTCTATAATTTTTTTCAGGGCACAAGGTCAATACTATCACCCCGTTTCGGCTTGACATTAAAGTTTTGGACACTTTGTATATATAAGATATGAAAAAGTGTGTTTTATATTTTTAATAATAATATCATTCTAAACTATAGTTTTTTTAACAGTTTTAATATTTAGGAAAAACTTTTTAAGCCATTTCAAATCGATCTAGATGTGCGATACCTATTCAAAGATTTTTCCAAACTTATTACTGCTTTTAATGAAGTTTTAAAATTTTATTTTGACTATATCATTTGGAATATTTTATAACAATTTCTATTTGCACCACATCGAACAGCGAATTTTATTACTAACCTAAACCAGTAGTTAACAGTCCACAGTATCATCGAATGGCCAGAATTTAGAGCCTTTAACTAATTCAAAATCATTATTTTGAAATTCTTTAAAAATAATATTATAAAGAATTTAAAATCTTTCCAACAAATATCTGAATCAAGTATTTACATACATAAACAGCCTCACAGAGTAAGAGTTAAAGGTTGACAAAAGCATCATTGTATATACAGCACTGACAAAGATAAGAAATTAATAAAAGATTTATGCATAAGTCCAATTGAGAAAGCTAATTTTACACAATATCATTAGACACTTTCTATAGTATTAACAGCATATGATGATCAGCTTCTTAAAATCCATGTATTAAAAATATTGGTCCAGAATTAGAAAATCAGTCCAACGTTGTCTCAGTCAATCTTTAGGAATAAGATTTGTGTATAAAATTCACATTAATTGTTGAAGCCGGTATAAAATTTTGTTTGCATTTTTGGTCCATATTGTCTAAAGTCGAAATGGTGAGTATTATTGCTTTTGAGTATCATAATATTATCTAAACATAAATGCTTTCGTGTTCATTTATTTAAAAGCAGCCTTATAAAATAATTATCATTCGTCTATCTCCTATCCATTCATTGACGTTTTTCTTCGAAACAAGTTCAAAAAACTTCTAGCTATATGCAAAGTATTTTGTGAAACCATTTCCTTCTCCAAAACCAAAATATTCATAACAGCAGTTGCAAAATCTCTAAAACATTGGTCCTCAGTAACGCTCAGACTTTGAAGATTTGACATCCTCACTATGTCATGATTTAATTTACTAGTTCTCGAATAAATACCACGAACATGACACATATGCTTTAAATTTTCAGGCTCCTTGGTCAACTGTGGCAAATGTGCGATTACTGTGAATTTTAACCCATTTCCAATACAGAAAGGTCTTGCTGATAGCCATCCTAGAACTGGATGCCTTTTGAAAATTAAGTATTCTTCTAAACTGCGAGTGACTTCAGCCATTTTAGCATAAGCCAGTCCTATTTTGTCAGGATCGACAGATGGTGCACATGTTACAACACGAATGTGATCCAAAACATTTATCCAAATTGCAGTATCATGGGCTTGGTTCACAAAAACTCCACGACCATATGGCCAATTTTTACCATACAAACGTTCTTGCAAACTATCGCCATCAGCACCTGTGCTAACTTCACAAATTGGTATGAGCAAACCTAAAGATGTCAACTTTGCCCTGATTTCAGAAGGTCTTTCCAAAAATTTCATTCATGGTGTAATATATACCCTCATCAAAAGCTCTACTTAGCAAAAGTTGCGTTAGTACTTGCTCAACGTCTTCCAGTTGTTTGACTGTTAAATTTACAGGCAGCTCATAGTAATCTAAATTTCTAGAAACTTCTATTACACTTGATATCAAAATCTTGCCTTGAGCATCAAGCCTAAGATCACTCAAACCTTTATTCTCGTTAAAATAAGTCTCTGGCTGTTTTGGCAAATCAAACTTTAAATTCTGTCGGTGCAAGTGTTTTAAAAACTGCCAAAGAAATTCTGGATAAACCTCATAAGTATCAAAATCTGGTATCAACACACCACCAATAAAATCTTCTTCAAAACAGGAAATCACACCGCGTTCTTCGGGTAATTTTTTGACTCCAGGCCATATGATATCAAATAAATCATGATCTTTTCTGGTGACCCGTTTCTTGACACGGTCGAAAGGTTCTCGTCGAAGGAATTTGGATAATGTTACCATAGCTGGTGTTTGATAATGAGAAGCTAGTGTTCCTGTAGGAAGCGATGCAGTATGAAGTCGTATTCCTTGAAGCAGGGAGAAGCAGCGCTCCAAAGTTGCCAATCTATCGGCGTCATCCAGTTGGCGGCGCGATGAGAACTTGTCGTTGGGAACTAACATTGATTTAAACTTTTTTGGAAACATGTATAATTTAATTTAGAGCGAGGTGCATCAAATTATTGAAATAGATCGCGAATCAGTTAATACATACTACTGCTACCCAAAAGTTAATTATTGCCTTATTGTTGTAGACAATACTATTTCTACAACAGTCTACAGACTGTGGTTATGGGTATGAGGATTGCAACTCCTATCACAATTTTGATCAAAACACTAATTTTATTCATAAAGAATGCCTGGACAAACATGATGAATATTTAATTTTTTTCAAAAAGTAACTAATGGGACAATTCTGCCGTAACAGAGTTCATAAAATAGCGCTGTCATGGCATTAATTTAATAATCATTAAAAATATCAAATTTAAAAAAAAAAAATAGAAGAAATTTCTTGTAAACATACACATAAGTTACTTATAGAATAAGCTCGTTGCCCTCTAAGAACTTATAAATTTACAGTATGTATTTATAATAAATGATCTATTTAAAATTATTTAAAACAATTATTGATTATTTTCATTCCTCGAATTTTTAATTACGGTACGGGAATCCGGCAATTTGCCTTAAGGCACAATGCAATTTGTCTTAAGATGCGATGACATACACCACTAGTTCATATGTAAAGACGCCTGATCGCACAGCAAATACATTGACATTTTCATAATTTTCACTAACTAATATCAAGCATAAGAGAACGTTGCCATGACAACGCTATTTTATGAACTCTGTTACGGCAGAATTGCCCCAAAAACGAGAATAATATTTAAATTGAACCAAAATATTATGGTCGTGATCGTGGCAAGAATAAAAATATTTTAAAATAGGAGGCAGAATCAAAATCAATGCAACTCGCTCAATTTATCATTAAAATGCAGATGAATATTATTATATTATTATTATGATTTTGTAATTATTCAAGTTTGTAAAAATATTAGGATCAAAATAGAAAGAGATGTCATAATAAAATAATGATTAAATTAGACAAGAAGATTATTAACTTTTCGACTAAATTGAACTAAAATAAATAGCTAATAGTAGTGCTTTTTCATCTATAAAAAACTAGATCTAATAAAGTGTACATTCAAAAAAATGCCTGTATACAAACTCTTTCATATAAAGATAATTTCTTTTTAACTTTTTATAAAAATATATTTTTAAATAAATTATAATTTATGGCGCCGAAGAATGTAAGTAAACGTTAGGATATATTGTGGTAAATATAGTACAGTAGTATTTCAATATTTTCAATATTGTTTTACCTTTTCAATTATAAGAAACAAAATTAACTATGTACATCTTAAAAAAATATTGTGGCTGTATAGTAACTCTTTGAATGCTATTAGTCAAAATTGAAACAATTAAAAGTCTTACCATTATCCTTCAAATTTTGATTTATGACATATCCTTCAGATCCATAGTCCTTGAGCAATCCATCCAATGATAATTCTTCGTTATTGTGATTATAATATTCAGGTGTGTGTCCCAGCTAAAAGACAAAAATTAATTAAATAGTCTATCAAGTTAGAGAAAATTGTTCATAATTAATTTGAACAATATTCAAGATGCTGCACATGATTAGATACAACAAAACTAAATATCTTGGTGTACATCTTAAATATTATTGTCAATAAGCTTGTAAGGAAGAGCGCAGGTAATACTAATTAATAGACCAATAATCATTATATTCATGCAACTGAGTTATTGAAGTAAAACTTCTTTAGGCGCGGCATGGGTGCGTATCCGTACAAATGCAACGGAAGTGAGTTACGGCAAGGTCGAGTACCAATGATACGCCATTCGCTCTCGATGTTATCATTTCTATACGGGTCGATTATGATTGGTCATATTTGTGCGAGGCTTCTTTGTATGCGTGACTTTATACGTGCGTACGTTACCGAAGTCGTGAATCATATTGTTCATTTATCGGT